GATGGTGCTTTTATAGCCTATTGTATAATAACTGTGTGATTTATATTGTTTTTCAAATGCATATGGCCACCCATTTACACTGCTCTTCCCGTCAAGAATATGAATAGAACTTAGTTAGATCACTTTACATTTCTGCAAATAAATTTTTAATCACACACGTCTCCCCGTCCCAAAAATGATTAATAAAATAAAAAGAGGAAACCATTTTCAAGTTCAGTTTTCAACGTTTTATTTAAAATAACTGACATAACAGACACCATACTGTAGGCCTATCTGCTGCGGAAACCAGGACGAGCTATTTCGGGATCTGTTTTTCGGGGGCTCCTCAGTCTCTCATTTATCCGGCTCCTGATTAGAACACATCCTGGGGATTGTGTTTACAAACATTGACCAGACCATTCACCAGTGCATTTTGAATGTCCGATAGTCCACCATTTCCACCGGAAATATCAAACATTTAATAAAAGTGAAAAACAATGAACAAGACTTAACGTATTCATCATAATTAATTATATTTATTTCGTTTGGATGTAGGATTTTTGACTTTGTTTAGAGCAGTGATCTTCTACTATGAACATTTTGGACCCAAAATCAAAACAAAAAAACGTAAAAACAGATTTTGAAAATGATATTATTTTTCATATGTAACACAAACATACACAACGAAACCATTTAAAAGCTGGAAATATATACATGGGATGTCACTATGATAATGTGAAAGTTTGATTGAGGTAGCATGGGATTTCATTCTGATAAGGCAAAAGTGTTATTATAAATATAATACAAATATATATATACACATTATGTACAAAAATCAGTTTTTTCTGTCTTTATCTGTGCCACGCTTCAAAGCGGTTTCTGTCAATACGACACAGAGGGCAACATCACAGATTCCTCCTCCTCCATGTCAAAAAACAAGCTTAAAGCTTGACTCACGTTCAGAGTTCTCTTCATCATAGTTGAATCTTCAGAACTCTAAATCTATCTAACTATATCAAAATTCTCAATGTTTGTCTGTCACTTTACTTCAATCGCAGTCTCCCGCCGTCTCTCTTCGTCTCTTTTCGTCTCGTTTCGTATCACTCCGTTTACCTGATTACCTCACCCCCTCCCTGGTAAATACATCCTGTTGAGCAGAATCTACAGTTTCCAGTATTTTCCATTTCGTAAAATGATAAAATACGGCGAAGATATCAAAATATGTGCTTCCATTATTCATACTTCTGAAATATATCTGTATTAACTTGATATCATCGTATGTCCGTGTTTATTGGGTCTTTTTGCATGAAACAAAGACTGGGATATAGTTTCAAGCCAGTACTTTCGACAGAAACACACGGCAATGTTGTCCGGACTGTTGTTTTTATGCGGCACCGGCTTGAACAGGTCATGTGATCTGATCACGCCGGCGTGACGGTCGACTCCAAAGGGTTAATATTAAATACATATAAGTATTTTTACAACTTGTATTTAGAAATACTCTGTTGTAATTATTGATGCATACATGTGTTCATCCATTCAATGTGGCATCTGCTATAATGGGGTTAATGTATGATATTACTTAATAATACAATACATTATAATATATGATATGATAATTACATTTTAGTTTTATTCATTTCTTATTTCATAGTTTCTCATTATTATTATTTTTATCATTGCAAACAGACTAAGTTCAACAACACCCAGTTGTCTTTGTGTATTTTGTGAATGAAGCGCCATCTTATGGTTAAATCCTGTAATTGAACAAATGGGGAAATTGGGCAACGCCCTCTAGCAATTTGGCAACACCCCCAGCCACTGGCATCCGCTGGGCTTTTGACTGGGACACACGCATCTGAGTCTGATCTGGAGTGCTTCATCTGTACCTTGGCTGAATTGGAGAGAGTGGCTTGTGTGAGCGATGACCTGTCGAGACTCACGTCCTGGACCAAATTCCAGTCACCAGCCATAATAATACGATGGTTGTCGGCGTTGGGAATTTGAGCAAAGAGGTTCACAAAAAAATTACCATCATCCCAATTGGGAGCGTAGATAGAAGCTAGTATCACTGGTGTGTTCTGTAGCATGCCCGAAACTATGACATAACGACCATTAGGATCTGATATCGAATTTGTCAATTCAAATCTGACATTCTTGTGAATAATAATTGCTGCCCCTCTGGCTTTGTGGGAGAATTTTGAGTGGAACAAGTGACTCATCCATGCCCTTTTAATACGAAGGGTATCAGAAGATTTAAGATGAGTTTCCTGCAGGAATATGACATCTCCATTCAGATGTTGCAACCGTGTCATTACCTTACCAATCTTAGTAGCGTTGTTCATGCCCTTAGTATTCCAGGAAATCAGGCACACTCCTCTACCTGTCGTTGTCATGGCAGACACCATCTAGGAACTTCCTCAAAGACAAGTTTACCTGGATAAACACTGTCTTGCATACACAGGAGAAAGAGAAGAGAGGACGACGAAAAATAATAATAGTAATGACAAAAACAAAACAAAAAAACCCCAAAAAAAACATGTGGCCATACCTATAGCTAAACCCAAAATGCACAGCATAATCAAGCACTCTGGCTTAGATCTATGTAATTACACTAACACTTGTAATTACACTAACACTAGTCTTCAGGGGACCTAGTCCCTATCTAAACAGTAAACCATCCCCATATTATCCCACACAGAACAAGTGGATGGGTAAGTGAATAGGAAATTGTCAAATATTATGCAGATAAATCTATGCCAATACCAAACCACAGAGAACAGAGAAGAGAACACACATACAATTTAGTGCAGTAAAAATCAGCATGAACAGCCGGTCCAACAAGTAAATACAATGTATTGTATCCATACAGATACCCTAAATGAGACATAATAGGAAATAAAATAAAGTGCAAAAGAAATCTCTGAATGGTAAAGGCACAGGTGGACAAGAAAATAAGCTAGTGCAACAGCTCCACATCAATGGAGCTGTGGCTCCCTCTAGCAAAAAAACGATACTCTGCGGATAACATGTCATGTGACCTATCAACAGGCATTCATAACGGCAAGGAACACAAAAAAAAAGAAGGAAAATATAAGAAGTCTAGCCTTGGAAAAACACACATGTCTGTCTGCGTGTTAACGGCATAATTAGAACCCATGTGAACTAATAGGTCAGACAAGTTACTTAGGTAGCCAGTAAGGCTAGTAAACTGGGCTAACGTTACCAAACCACAGCAGTCAGGCGGAGGAGGAGGCATGAGAGCCGATACCAGATCGGTTAGCTGTAATAAAGTCCTTGGCCTCAGAAACGGTGGAAAGTCTCTTCCTGGCCATCCCTCAGTGTGATGTTAAGCCTCGCAGGGAAAAGTAGTGCGGGCTTGAAGCCCCGTTGGTAAAGTTCAGACATCACCTCTTGGTATTCCCTGCGCTGCTCCACTATCTCAGAAGGATAATCCTCGTAGATTGCAATTCTTTCACACACACATACGGGTTTTGGGCCGAGGGCGACACCGTATTTGCGGTATCAACCATTTCATGCGAGGTGCATACAGAATATCATAGTCTATTCCTTAATCAATATAGTCAACTCTAAAATACCACATATATGCATTGGCATGATAATATTATTGTGACAAGTGGGGTATTCACCTGGTGTTTCCAGAAGATAGACGTAGATGCTGCCAAAATCGACCGAAGGCCACTTTTGAGGGTCGTAATTCCATACATTGTACATCCAACAACCCACACAGCTCTAGTTTACGCTGGTAACGACCTAGAGCACACCCCTCAAGTCCAGAGATGTAATCCGAAGACATGCAGCGATTTCTTCGGTCGTTAATTCAGAAAAAAAACCTAGTGCGCTCTGCCTGGCTACATTAGCTAGCTGTTTATATTAGCATCGCCAGGATTTTTGCACCTCCAGAAAAATGGCGTCTTTATAAAAAAATATATGGAGCGCGTTGCATTGTGGGTAGCTGTGACGTCACTGTGTGTGAAAGAATGGGTGTCCCACGGTACTGCAGCTTGCCTCTCTTAGCTCTGGCCTCACGGATGATCTTATCTTTCTGCTGGAATCTGTGGAGCCTGATGACCACGGGTCTCGGTCTCTGACCCGGTCCTGGCTTGTTGGAGAGTGTACGGTGCGCTCTGTCGCACTCCGGTGGAGACTCAAAAACGCTGTCACCAAGGATCTCAGCCAGAAGTTCAGAAAAGAAGGTGGAGGGGTGAGGCCCTTCGATGGACTCAGGTAGACCAATGATCCTGATATTGTTACGGCGGCATGCGAGACTCGAGGTCCGTCAACTTAGCTTGTAGCTTGGTATTATTCTCAGCTAGCTTAGCACACATAGATTCCAAACTTTGTATGCGTCCATCTTGTTCGTTAGCGTTGGATTCAAGCGAATTAATTGAGTGGGTATGATCGGAGACTGTGGTTTGAATGCAGTCTAGCTTGGCTTCGAGCGCAGATATAGTAGCCTTGAAATCTGCAGAGATAGCATTCCGGTGTTGTTCCAGTTGGTTAGCCAAGGCCGCCATGTTGAAGTCACTGCCATTTACCGCCGGCACGGTAGACTGATCCTTCTTGCCCGATCTCTGCTGCTTGGAAGCCATAATCCAGCACCAGAGTATTCAGAGAGGAATAATTATCCACCTGGAGATGGCCAAAGGCAAAACTATGGGGATTTAAAATAGTCAATGAATAAAAGTTACGGGAGCTAGATTCGACACTGCCTACTCCATCTTGCCCCACCGGAAGTCTCCTTAAAGCTACTTTTGAGCACAATTTTGATAAACACAAGACTTGCAGTTGATTTGAACAACATTTATATATTTTGCATGATTCTTTGTGAAGTAACTCAGTTGAACAGATCTTTGATTAAAGAGGAACTAAGAATATCTTCCTTAAGGGGAACAAAGTAGCCAGAAACAGCGAGCTTCATGGTGGTCTAGCAGGACCCTCTCAGGCTGAGTCACATCACTGAGATCTGATTATTCTGATGGTGTTCTGTCCTCCCTCAGACTCTCCCAGCCGTGCCACCCCGCCTTGTCGCCGTCAGCAAGACCAAACCTCCAGAGATGGTTGTGGAGGCCTACAGACAAGGGCATCGGAACTTTGGAGAAAACTATGTGAGTATAAATGCTGCAGGTCTGCATCAGTCCAAAGTATGCCTGCATAATCATGAAGGGGCCTTCCTTTCATTAAGACCCCCCAGCATATCATAGATTAAATGGGAAAATTATGGGGAAATGTCCATTAAATTGATGGGACCTTGCAAAGCCCCATTGCAGACTATTTGTCTCGCTTATTTTTCATTGGATTGTGTTGAAATTTGTCTGATATATTTTGTATATCTTATGTACAGTACACTTTGATTCTGTGTAGCTTTAACATACATAGTCCTCACACATCATATAAGTTATTTGGTCTTCTATACACAATTAAAAGCCAGGAAACCTACTGGTAAAGATATTTTGACTGTAGAAGATTATTTAAATTCCCTTTTTTTATGTTAAAATAACAATTGTTATATCACTCCTTCACAATTTTATGTTTTCCTTTCACTGGCAGTATTTCTATCTCTGTATGATACCATTTGAGACTGTTTTTCATCATCTTCTTCCTTTATCTCCTTTCCAGGTTAATGAACTTGTTGACAAAGCTTCTGATCCTCTGGTAAATTGATATATTTAAATTCAAAGGTAGTATCTACTTTTTCCACATATTCAAACCGTGTTTCTTTTTCAGATTTTGGCCTCATGTCCAGAAATCAGGTGGCACTTCATCGGCAATCTGCAGAAGAACAATGTGAACAAACTCCTGGGTGAGTCTTTACAAACTCCCCCCCCCCCCCCCCCCCCTCCGTGTGTTGACAGTTGACAGTTCACTGAGTGTGTGTTTGTTATCCAGGCGTGCCCAACCTGTTCGTGGTGGAGACGGTGGACTCTGCCAAGCTGGCGGACCGGGTGAACAGCTCCTGGCAGCGCCTCAGAGGAGCCAGCACCCAGAGGTTAAAGGTCATGGTGCAGCTCAACACCAGCGGAGAACAGAGTACGTGTCAAAGTCAGCACTTTGTTCTGCTCAAATATACTGAAAAATAAAAATAAGACATACTTTAGTAGTCCCACAAAGTGAAATTATGTTATAACATGTAGAAATAGATGCAACAAACTATAGTTTTTTTTATATAGAACCCGAAATGTTCCCACACAGCTGATTTAAAAGAAGCAGGTGGGTCTTCTAGCTCCTGTGTGTTATCTGAAATCGCCATACTAACTTTTCTTCTTCTTGTATTTTGTTCGTTTTGTTGTGTTTTCTTCTTGTTCTTCATTTGTTGTTTAAGGGCGGCAGGCAAACAGCTTTTAGGCGCAATACCGCCCCCTGGATTATATATAGTGTAATGGATACTGCCCTGAGTGACAGACTTTTTTCCCTTCATAAAAAAGGCGTATTCGTCGTGTGACTGCATGTGCCGAACGGTGACGGTTCGGGACGAATACGGATACCGTTACACCCCTGCACAATGTTAATGTCTTCAAGCCTTTCTTATTGAAATATCAAGTCCCCCCAGCATATGATAGAATTACTGGAAAAACTATGATGGGACCTTGAAAAGTCCCACTCCGGATACTTTTTAGTTGTAAGGCAAGGCAAGGCAAGGCAAGGCAAGGCAAGGCAAGGCAAGTTTATTTATATAGCACTTTTCAACACAAGGCAATTCAAAGTGCTTTACAAAAAATGAAAGAGATTAAGAAAATGGCATTTAAAATCAGTCATTAAAAAGAAAAGCTAATAAAATAAACATTAAAAAAAAATACATGGATAAAAGTTACAGTGCAATTAAACATTAAAAGAAAAAAGTACATGGATAAAAGTTACAGTGCAGTCTAAGATATGAATAGTTCAATTAAAAGCAGCGACAAAAAGAAAAGTCTTCAGCCTGGATTTAAAAGTAGTCAGAGTTGCAGCGGACCTGCAGGTTTCTGGGAGTTTGTTCCAGATATTTGGAGCATAATAACTGAACGCTGCTTTACCATGTTTAGTTCTGACTCTGGGGACAGAAAGCTGACCAGTCCCTGAAGACCTGAGAGATCTGGATGGTTCATAATTTAGCAGGAGGTCAGAAATGTATTTTGGGCCTAAACCATTCAAAGCTTTATAAACCAGCAGCAGTATTTTGAAATCTATTCTTTGACACACAGGAAGCCAGTGTAAAGACTTCAGAACTGGAGTGATGTGATCCACTTTCTTAGTGTTAGTGAGGACTCGAGCAGCAGCGTTCTGAATTAGCTGCAGCTTCCTAATAGATTTTTTAGTGAGACCTGTGAAGACACCATTACAGTAGTCCAGTCTACTGAAGATAAAAGCATGGACAAGTTTTTCCAAATCCTGCTGTGACATTAGTCTTTTAATCCTAGATATATTCTTTAGGTGATAGTAGGCTGATTTAGTAACTGTTTTAATGTGACTGTTGAAACTCAGGTCAGAGTCCATGACTACACCTAGATTTCTGGCTTTATCTGTTGTTTTGAACATTGCACACTGAAGCTCAGCGCTAACTTTTATACGTTCTGCCTTGGCTCCAAAAACCATTACCTCAGTTTTATCTTTGTTTAATTGGAGAAAGTTCTGACACATCCAGTCATTGATTTGTTCAATGCACTTACTCAGTGTTTGAATTGGAGCATAGTCTCCTGGTGAAATTGTTACGTACATTTGTGTGTCATCTGCATAGCTATGGTAACTTATTTTGTTGTTCTTCATTATCTGAGCCAGTGGTAGCATGTAGATGTTAAAGAGAAGAGGCCCCAAGATGGAGCCTTGAGGAACCCCACATGTCATATTTGTCAACTCAGATGTGTATTTACCTATAGAAACAAAGTTGTTTCTGTCCTTTAAGTAGGATTCAAACCAATTCAGAACTTTTTCCGAAAGTCCCACCCAGTTCTCCAGTCGGTCTAGTAATATGCTGTGGTCAACAGTGTCAAACGCAGCACTGAGATCTAATAATACTAACACTGAAGTTCTGCCACTGTCTGTGTTTAAGTGGATGTCATTAAAGACCTTTACAAGAGCAGTCTCAGTGCTGTGGTTTGGACGAAAGCCTGACTGGAACACATCAAAACAGTTATTTAAATGCAAGAAATTACTCAACTGTTGAAAAACAACTTTTTCAATGATTTTACCTAGAAATGGGAGGTTTGATATGGGCCTGTAATTGTTCATTACTGAAGCATCTAGATTATTCTTTTTTAAGAGCGGTTTAATGACTGCAGTTTTCAGGGCCTGTGGAAAAATACCTGAGTGAAGAGATTTGTTTACTATATGAAGTAGATCTGAGGCCATGCAAGGCAAAACATCTTTGAAAAATCCTGTTGGAATAATATCAAGGCAGCAGGAGGAGGATTTCAGAAGTTGAATAATGTCCTCTAGGTTTTTATCATTAATCTGATGGAATTGTGTCATGATGTCTGAATTGATGTTAAGTGGAGATAGGGACAACACATTTGCTGTTCCTGATGCAGAGGCACTGACTGCTTGTCTGATTTTCTGAATTTTGTCAGTGAAAAAGGAGGCAAAATCATTGCACGCCCTGGTGGATAGAAATTCAGAGGCTACTGACACTGGGGGGTTAGTTAGTCTGTCGACGGTAGCAAACAAGGCACGTGCGTTGTTTTTGTTTTTGGTAATGATGTCAGAGAAGAACGATTGTCGTGCGTTTTTCAATTCCAAATTATAAAGGCCAAGTCTCTCTTTATAGATTTCAAAGTGAACCTGGAGATTTGTTTTTCGCCACCTGCGTTCAGCTTTTCGACATTCTCTTTTTTCTGTTTTCACGGTCATGGCCTTTCTCCATGGAGATATTTTCTTGCCAGACACTTCCTTTACCTTAGTTGGAGCAATGGCATCTATAACATTTTTAATTTTTGAATTAAAATGATCTACTAGCTCATTTACTGAGATGTTGGCAGGGGCAAGTGTGGAAGAGAAATTCTGTATTGTAATCCTCACCAATTGCTTATCTCTCTTAGGATTGTGTTTACATTTAAACTAAACATCCGAGAGATCATAGGGATCATTTGTTTTTATAAAAGAAATAATATCTACTGTAGTGGTTTCTATCTTATAACCACATTAGATTCTGTGTTGTATTAATTTAGTTCTGTCACACCTAAAAGTTATTTTGGTGTCAGAGCAAAGAGGCAGTGGCGCCGCCAGGGATTTTGAGCCCCATGAAAAGATAATCACATTGGTTACTTAAAGTTTTTTTCCTTAATGTTCTAAAATTGTTTGGGCCCCTGTCAGTCACGGGCCCTTAGAATCGTCCTAACTTTTCACCCCCTTACGGCGCCCCTGCAAAGAGGATGTCGTGGTTGGGGTTCAGTGCCTTGCTTAAGGACACCTTGGCAGTGCCCAGGAGTCAAACTCACCTCTCCAGGTGCACACCACATTTTGTATATTTATTGTCCATACCGGGACTCGAACCGTCGACCGCCCGGTACCTGAGCAGCGTCCCTATGGGGAGTGATCCATGTTTGCTAACGGTGTGTCCCATGTCCCTGCAGATAAACACGGGCTCCCCCCCGAGGACACGTTGAGCACGGTGCAGCACATCCTGTCCCACTGCGGCGCTCTGGACTTCTTAGGACTCATGACCATCGGTCGCTACGGATACGACCTCAACCTTGGCCCCAACCCAGACTTTCAGGTACAAAACACTAGAGTTATTTTATGTCCAATAATAAGAATAGAAGTATAATAATAATATGACTATTGATTAAGCTGTTTTCAACCTCTCAAATGTCCATAACACCCGCAATCCTCTGTTTAAGTCATTTTCAGCTATCTTTGGGGTTTGGACTTACATAAAAATACATCAACTTGGGGTTTGATGGACTGTGATGGGTTATTATAGGGAAAACTAAACTAAAATATTGATCATCAGATGAGCTGATGATTGAATGAAAATATTGATATGCTGCAGCCCTCTAAAAGGCTCTCATGAATAACACTTGGTTATGTGAAAATGATGTCTACAGTAAACTAAAACTCTACACTGATACAAACGTGTGTCCTTCTCAAGGCAGATTGTTCTTATGCAAAATAATTAAAACCAAAAAAATAAACAACCAATAACTCCACTTTGAAAGAACAAATACTAAACAGAAATTGATCTCCAACATTATTTTTTTAAAGACATATCTGTATCTCAACTAGAGGGAGTCTAGATACATCTGCAAGGCTGGTATTATCTTTTGCAGACATTAAAGTGTTACAAAAATGCCACATTAAGGTCTGACATATTAGGAACAGTGTTTTTCCACCAAAGAGCACTGACACACACACAGGTTTGAACTGTCGATTGTATGGCTGATCACACTGTGTATTTGTTATGCATTCATGTGCTATAAATCCCATCAGCAGATATGTCAGCATCAGATATATTTTTAAAACTCGTAAATATTGATTTCATGATTCTATAGTTTTACTGTCATGTACACAATAGCTAGAGTATTAGTAGTTGTAGTTGTTTGTAATGAAAATCTTAATTAACTCCAACAATGCAAAACACTAAATACTTTAGACAAAGAAATAGATAAGTAAAATAGTGCAATAAACACAAGTGAAAGTGATACAATTGTAAAATGCAGCATTAAGTTAATAGTGTAGGTGTAAGATGGAATAAGAATGCAGACTCTGGTACTGTGCAGTAGACTAAGGAGTGTGTGTGTGTGGTGCAGACGCTGCTGGGGCGCAGGCAGCAGCTGTGTGACGGCCTGCAGATGCCTCTGGAGCAGGTGGAGCTCAGCATGGGGATGTCCACAGACTTCGACCACGCCGTGAGTATCGCTCCTCATCAGCACTTGGAACACAAATATCAAAGCAAATGTGGCCAGATTAAATCCTTCTTGAGGTACGTTTTTTATTTATTTTTATTTTCAGGGTCACAAATTGACGAACACAAATTATGTATTTTAGTGCCCAGTATTTAAACATTTATTCAGTCAGACTAGGTGAATTTGATTAATTTATAGAAGTGCATTACATATTTCTTTATGAATTTGTAAACCCTAAACATTTTTGATATGTTGTCCTTATGGAAGAAATGGTGGCGAGGGAGGAGGGTGGTCCTATCATTTTCTAAGTCAAATATCCATGCTGTTATCAAAGTGGGAGTACTATGGATTTATAATTTATGAAAAATAAATAAATTGGCCATCAAATTTAACAAAAAATAAGGGAACATTTGAATCAGTTTGCTTTTTCATGTATGTGTGTTAATCCTCTTTGTACAGTTCAAAACAAAAAAGAGTTATGCAAAAAATTCTTACATTTAAAAAAAAAAAAAAAACCTTGTGAAGGAAAAACGGTAAAGTGAATAAATGGCAAAAATATTATAAAAGTAGAGAAGCAAATTAAAACAGAAATTTCAATTTCTGTCACATTACACATTTAAATTATGCAAATTATTTTAAATTATAATAATGTATTATGTTCAAAGCATCTTCAGGGTCCCCAGTAGTTTGTTAAAAGCTTCTACAGAGAGTGCAGAGCGGATGACTATAGGGAGTAGGGATGGGTATCGTTTGAAATGTATCGATTCCGATTTCGGTTCTGCTTATCGATTCCGGTTCTTATCGATTCCCCGTTTCGATTCCAAAATTGTAAAAGAAAGAGGTCAAACGTTTAGATAACAAAAATATCTTTATTCTTTTAAGCTTTAACTGACATTTTTACAAATAAAAAAAATACATGCAATACAAATGTATTGCACAATAGCTGTGCTTTATTTTAACTGAGGCAAGCTATTAACAGGCATTACACTGTGCCTTGTCTTTTTCTTTTTTAGTGTAGTGGAGCCTCACTTTACAGCGTTTACTGTGATCCATCTTTCTGTCTACGGGAGGGCGGGGGGAGCCTCGCTGCGGGGCAACTGTGGACCTCTGTCGCCTGTCAGCGCAACTTACATGATGCCGTTTAAACAAATGAAGGGCGGTGGCGGCCGTCAGCGTACCGAGCCGGCTGTCAACGACCCGGCCGTCAACGACCCGCTGACGACCGGCCGTTCTGTGATTCTCCAGAACACACAGATGGCCAGTCCGCCCTAACCCTGTATTCCACCGGGTCACCGCGGCGCAGACGGACCCGGTGGAATACAGGGTCTAGCACGTTTAGGAACCGTTAAACAGAACCGAAATTGTGTATTTTGTATGGGTACCCGGTACCCGGCATTTTCTTATCGGTTCTCATCTGGAACCGAGTTTCGGTTCCCAACCCTAATAGGGAGAGAGTTCCACAGTGTTGGAGCTCCACCTGAAAGGCACGTCACCTTTAGTTTTCAGACGAGTCCGTGGTACAGCCAGTAGGCCCTGGTCTGAAGACCTAAGGGACCTACTGGCGGTGTAAGGATGGAGGAGGTCACTTATATATTCCGGTGCATTTCCACGCAGGGCTCTGTATGTAATATAATAATAATAATAATAATAATAATAATATATATATATATATGTATATAGAATCAATAGTATGCTCTATATGTAATAACCAGGACCTTAAAATCAATTCTAAAACGGGTGGGGAGCCCAATGTAAGGATTTAAAAATGGGTGTAATGTGTGTCATCCTGCTTAACCTGGCAGCATTCTGGACCATTTGTAGACGGTTGAGAGATGACTTGCTGAGACACGTGATCACAGTAATCCAGCCGGGATGATATAAAAGCATGAATGATTACATTACATTACATTGCATTTAGCTGACGCTTTTATCCAAAGCGACTTACAATAAGTACATTCGACCAGGAAGACACAACCTTGAAGAAAACAGAATCATATAAGTACATCAGGTTTCATAGAGCCAAACATTTCAAGTGCTACTCAACTGGCTTTAGGTAAGCCAGCCCTTTATTAGTATAAAAGTGCTTCGTTAATAGTTCTAACGCTCGAAGTGGAGTCGAAAGAGATGAATGATCATTTCAAGCTCCGCTAATGACACAACAGACCTGAGCTTTGCAATATTTCTGAGATGGAAACTGTACAGGCTATAGATGATTTAACACGTACAACGCTATGTTCAGATGTATTTGATTGCAGGGCAAATGTAATTTGTTCATGGCCATATAGTGGTTATGTTCAAATGTATAATCTCTCATTTGTGTGTTGTGATTTTAGTTGTCTTGTCTGTTGGTTCAGATGCCTTTGAGAGGTCCATAGTTATGGCTGTTATTGGATTAATTGTTAATGTGATTAATGCCATTAAGTTATCTTATCTCTCTCATTAGGGGTCTTTCCTGCTCTAACGTGTACTCCTTTACATTAAAGATCGAGGTGGGCTCCACCAACGTGCGGGTGGGAAGCGTTATATTCGGCAACAGGGAGTATCCCAACAGTGCGACCAACACTCCGGCCCCCAGCCCGGAGAAAACCGCCAAGAGCATGACAGAGGAGGCGTCCAAGAAGATGCAGCACCTGACCGTGTCCAAACCGTGAGGAGCCGCTCTGATGTCCTGGAGGAGAGAACCACACTGAGGAAAGCAGTGGAGCACATCATTTCAGCCACGTGGAGCGAGGATTGCAAAAATGGTTGCATAATTTTAAAGTGTAATTGCCCTTGTTGCTCTTTTAAGCATTAAAAAGTGGCATTCAGTACAGAACTAGTTGTACCTTTTTTTAAAGTTGTGTTACTAACCTGTAGTGCTCTGACTTGATAACTGGCAAAGACAGAAATGTAGAAAACACGATGACATCTGGAAAAGATGAGTGAAGATTTGTTTGGATGTGTCGTGATATTTTCTACCTTTCCAGTCCAACATGTGACTTCTGAAAGAGTGTGTCCCAGACAGGAATCCCACACAGTACAATGTACCATTTTTGTTGTACAGATGAAACAAAGACTTGATTTAATAAATCATTTATCCCTTTATAATGACACGTAGTATTGTGTGTTTCACATTGTTTCTTATGGTGTTCCAGCTGTGACAGATCTCTAATCTTGATATGAAGGAGAGCGAACCTGGAGAAAGAGTTTTGTTTGTGTAGGTCTTGTGTTTTTGCGTTATTGCAGATGAACGAGTGAATCTATGCAAAGTGGGGTTTCTGTTTTCAGTGGATTTTACACTGCAGCTATATCACGGTTTCGCAGTGGATTCTGTCACAAGGTCAGTGTGTTGTCCTGTCTCCATGAAAAGTGCTTTTACTGTCAGTGATCAAACTAAAAGATGATTCACGTGTGGTTGCTGTCTTAATGAGGCGTTGTTTGGGAGGTCAAAGATGAGCAACAAATGTTTTTGCTGAACATTTCTGCCATTCGCCGTGTATTTTTCTTGTATTTGGCAAAGTGGCTCTAATAAAATCAAACACAGAAAGTTGTTTAGCCAAATTGTCTTTATTAAGTCATGGAGGTGACTACAGGGGAAATAAGAATATTTCAAGAGTGATAAATAAACAAAAGAATTAAAGACTGTGACTCTTAATAGCACTTTGTGATTTTGACGCTATTTCAGTGAAACAAAGCCGTTTTGTCCACTTATGGGATTTTGCTTCTACACGACACTCATAAATACACTATGATACATGCAACAATTTTCAATTAAGAACCATTTATAAACCAGTTCTAACATAGTTACATCAACACAGGCTCACTATTTGGCAAGATGACTAAGCCTTATATTGGCTACTTAGCGAGAATCAACTCAGTGAACAAAATACCAAGGATGCTGGCTCATGAAGGAGACAAAGTAAGCTAGGTAGCCAATATAAGGCTAAGCAGTACAGATACATGTGGGCTCACTATTTGGCAAGCAACCGGTCACAGTTGCCCTGTTTATCTCATGTCTTATAAAAGCTTATTAATGATTTATAAAGTGTTCACAACTGACGCTGTAGTACATATGCCAGACCAGTAAGTGGCGCTGTCGTCTGCTACAAAAGCAGCGAAGAAGACTTCCCGCGCATGGTTGCCCTTCTGTTTATTCTCCGCTGTGGCTCTTTTTCTCCCTCCCCGAGGCAAGCGTTTGCTGCTGCTGCTGTTCAATGCAATCCCTCCCTCGCTGTAATTCTCTCCGGTAGTCCACCAGCAGATGACAAACACCCGCCTCTTCCAAGGAACGAGGGGACCGTGCGGCAGAGTTTCAGTTAGATTTTTTTTCGCTGGTCAACATGTCCGTTAAAGTTTAAATCTTCCGGACAAAATTAGAAAAGTGCCAGTCAAAGGTCTTCTTTGTTATTTATTGAGCTTTAAAACAAATGAATAATGACTCTATATAAATCATATAAGAATAAAACACGGAGGACGGAGATCGGCCCCCGGGCCGTATACGGCCCGCGAGACCATTTGGTACGGCCCTTGAGGTAATTTATAAACCCGCAAAAAAGAAAGAAATGAAAGAAATCTAGACCGCAAAAAAAGTAAACAAGCGAGTGCCTGTTATTCCTGGCCAAGGTCAGGGTCCTTGAACACAACACGAGACTAACGTGTCATCACGTGGTATATGTCTCGTCTGACAGGGGTGTAGTCATAGATATATATATAAACACTCACCCGCGCTGCTGGCCAATGGAGACCGACGTTGCCACTTGGCCGCCATCTTGCTACAGGCAGTTCTCTCATTCATAACATTATGGTTTACTATTTAAATAACCATAGCTTGCTCAATTTTCAAACGGTTTGGTTTTGTATAAACATCAAAGATGTAGTTATGATACTGTATACTTATAGTCATGGACTTTCTTATGAAAATAACATTAAGCAGATAAAGCAATAGCTATACACACACACAAGGTATTTATATTAAATATTTGCCGGTGTATATATTTCCATTTATTTTTATTATATTGTTAATATTTAAAATAAATTATAAAATTAAAATATATTTATATTTTATATATAAAAATCGGTCTCATGTTACCACTCTGTAAGCCAAGAGTTGTTAATTTAGCTATGCCTTAGCTTTAAGAATAGGGACACAACTAATGACAATAGCATATGGTGGTATATTATTTAGATATTCACACCTTTATCAGAAGAACCAAACCAACATAAAATGAGCTCACAGACAGGCCAGTTCTGTCTCATTTATCACAATTATACGAATATATAAATAATAGTAATATGGAAATTAATAAGTTACTTTTTTAACAATTCAATGTTCACTTATCAATACTGTGAGCCTGATTTTTCTTACATTCTCCAACAGAAAACACAACTCAGCGTACTTTTAAGAAATTGATCTTAATAGGCTTTTCCCCTTATAAGGCAAATTGTTGCTTCCGGCTAAAATAAACATAATTAAAGACATTTTGAGTGTTTAAAATGTGCTGTAATACACAACACATTATTTATTCCTAAACTTGCAGAAAGAAAAACTAAAGTGTGACATTTAATCACATATTTATCAATCAATCTTATACACCTTGAATTCTTGTTGGCCAATGATACACATACCCTTTGAAGATGAGCTGGGAAATTGAATACTGTTGGCACAACACCATCTTTAAGCCGGATAGTCTGCCCCGTCCTGTCAAAGTCCTCACTCCTGAAGTACTCACTGCAGAGCAGCGTCCTGCCAGAGGAAACAAAACCGTCCCTTCTTAGGGCGAGTTCCCACTGCCTCCTCCTCTCTCCGGTTTTGGGAAACCTTAAAAACATGAGAAAGGTAGCCAGATATATAAATTATTGTCAACATTGTCCGCCCTTCTTTCCTTTAACATTAAGGGTAAGGACAAAAATACACACCGAAATTATCATATTTTTGGGGTAATTGTATGTATGTATGTATGTATACTTTAAGAATAAGACAACCACACTAAGAGTAATAAAAAAGGTGTCCAAAAGAAACATTACATAATTGTGTAAAGAAATGGTAACAACATATTCTAAAGAGGCTGGGTCAACATCAATCTTGCAATACTATTATCTCACATAGCCCCACTGATCCTGTGTAGCAGGACTTGCAATGTACATACATCCACTAAGTAATTAACGATTATCCTAATTATAGTCATAATATTGTCATATCTTACACGTGATTCCACGGGTTCTTGTTTGCAGACTGCGGCGATTAGAGCAGCCGTAGGCAGCACAAAAGTCAGGCATAGTCAGGTACTTCTGTAAACACAAAGCCAGCAATTTCCTGTATCATAATGTATCTAAAAATGTAAGATGTTTTTAACAAGCCAAACCACTTGGAAGAAATCATGTGTAACTTAAGTTATGTTGAAAAGAAAGAGCAGTTCTGCCTCTCCCACTGGTGTAAAGTTGCTGGGTCAACTTTGTAATACTAGGTCTCACTCACAGCCTCTTGTTATTAGGCAGCTAATAAATACAACCACATACACAAAGAAAAGCTGCAATTTCAACATGTCCAAGCATCCTGTATCATAGCCATGCTAATAACGTTTATAATAAACAAAACCGTTTGTAATTCAGTCAAGATTTCAGCGATTTAAGAGTATTTGTGTGCAGATAACTCACCTTACAACAGCTACCATAGCGCGTACCAGAGTAGCTGTTGACTGTAGCAAGATGGCGGCCGGTGAGCTACGCTGGAAAATCTCCCATGAGCCATCTAGTGTTTATATATATCTATGGGTGTAGTGCTGACGGAGAGCATCAGAACACCGCTCCGGCACTTCCAAAAATTGCAGTAGCCTACCCATAAGGAGCTGTACACATGCCGCAGTTTTTGCGTCTTTAGTTGAAAGCCCAGTGGCGATCTGTTCATGACTGTCATACTGATCATACAGTCAATAACTTTGTTGTTATTAGCATCTGGTTAGCTAGCTATGCTAACGAATATAAGAAGCTTTTTCTCCAACCAGTGAGGTAAAGGCACATCTTTATATGATCATTATTATAAAAAAATAAGATAATAAAGTAAACAGGTATAAAATACTATATGACAGTAAAAAAAAGTTGTTATTAATAAACAAGAATACAGTTTGAAAGGGGAGTGATTTGTAAAATGTCCATAAAGAAAAAGTAAATCTGTTTACAGTTCTGTTTCATATGGGTGTTGAGAGATATATCCATAGAGCTCCTAATTTTGCTCTCAAAGTGCACCAGATTGATGCTTTTAACTTCAACATTTAAAAAAAAATCTTCCTGGGGGAGCATGCCTCCGGACCCCCCTAGGGGAGGTTAGGTCCCCCCCCACACTTAAATCATGTCCACATGGATAGGAAACTAAATACATTTGCACACATTTCCATATCTTTCTGTTTTGGTGTTCATGCCACAACCGTGCATGTGCATGCATCATCATGGTAAGAGGTTGCTTTTTCTTTGCACAGCATGAAAGAAAGGCCAAATGAATGGGCTGTGATTTTAGTTTTTTTAAGCAGAGGTCAATAATTTGTACTGCCCTCGGAGGATGTTGAAAAATTGAAATGGCCCTTGAGAGGAAAAAGGTTCCCCACCCCTGCATTAAAGCTATGTCACAGAATCAGCCCCTGCAAAAACAGGCCTGGAAAGAGCAAATAGAGCGAAATGAGGCTTGGCTAAAATGCAGGATCTGTTTGGTATTTTGAAAAAAAAACTATATTTATATACTTTATATAGGTATGGCCCTACAATATATTGTTCAAATATAGCATGATAGGTCCACTTTAAGGAAACTTTGAACAAACAGATGTAAAGTTACATGTGTGGCTTACAAACTTCTTTACATGCAAACAACTTTTTATCTTCTTTTAAAAACAGGTCATAATCTTATAGTTATACTTAAGAAATTGCTGGATATCACAGTCCTTATCTTATCAGTTTGATTGAGTATTATTGTGTAGGTCCTTTTTATTTTACTGTTACTTTGGATGTGTTTCTCATGAGTCAGTCAAATGTATTTGTTTTCATATGCCATATTCATATGTATCACACACGTAAGGGTAAGACACAAACCTATTTAACAAATGCAATGCAATGGTTAAGCTTAATGTTCACTGAAGTCACAGATAACGTCATATCCAATATTTAAACAAATCATTTCCTTGTCACTAAAGCATTGACTACGCTATTCATCGTCCTTAAATGCAGGCATTAAGTTACATGTTCCGTTCTACAGCCACAATAAGGCTATTTCTCAAGTGTGATGATAATAAAATGAAAAGAAGCATTGGTATTAATATTAAAAACAACGATTTTTGGGTCGTTCGTTGGATAGGAGGTTAGCTGCAATAAATAACTCCAGTTCAACAAACCATATTACAATATCTAAGGGAGCATTATTTCTGGACCATCTTGAAATGTGACGTTCATATTTTAAAGATACACACATTTTATTGTGAGGTTGATTTAATATACACTTAAGCCTCTCTTCAACAATACGTTGACGTTAGCTAGTCTATTTTATGCTATAGTAGAGCAAAGCGAATTTAAATGAACCTGAACAATGCAAACAGTAAACTAACGAGCAAACTAACTATCTAACGTACACTCAAACAACTAAATCAGTGGCTTTGTAGATATCACAATAATAAAAAGCTATATTACTTTAATAAAATCTCTAAATATCACCAAAGTAATTGTTTGAGTTGGACATAACAAAATAAATGCTTAAAAATCCAACAGTTAATTTTGTCTTAAATTACTACTATTATTTAAGTTGATTACACGAAAATAAATGAGTATTTTACTAACAAATTATATTTTTAAGACATCCTTAATATCTTTGGTAAATTTCAGTCAAAATATTTGAGAATTTGCTAATTGATCAGTTTCAGGAACAGCAATTATTACTCATTCCAAATCGATATTCTTAATCTTTAACAACAACTTAAGACATTGAGTAAATTACACTAAACGTCATGACGTGGACACCATTAACAATCGCACGCAAAATATACATGTGCTCATGGGAAATCTACTTTTCTATCTGCACATGTGGCAACCAACAAGCAAGCAAACACCAAGAAGAGAACCACCAGGAAAACTCCCTGCAAATTCTGGTAAGTAACAAGCAAGCAAAAGTTAATGAAATATTGACCCTGTCTTTGTGCATATACAACTTTATAGTGTGTAATTATCTAAATACTGTCACACTTGAAGCCATGCTGTCTAGCTAGTTCTCTGTCCGCTTCTTCACACGCATGGTGGACACAGTCAACCAGGTGAAGTGAAGCTAACGTTTTACTCGAGTAAAAAGTAGAAAACATTAGCACCTGCTTTATCTGCAGTTGTTGTGTGCATAATGCTGCCCCAGTGTGTGATATTAGATGGCATGCCGGCCTGACGTGTAACACAACAGCGCCGGAGAAATTATGTGTGTCTGCATGTCCCGCCATGCCGGAATAACGACGCAACAGTCTCGCCTTGAACAGGCTGTGAAGGGGGCTTTGCCACCCGGTTACTAGCAACGCTTATTGTTTAGGTATCCCTGATAAGGAGGCAGTATTTTTCCCACTTTAGTTCCGAAATGTTGCGTTCACCCCTTTTCCGTCCCTGCTAGAGAGCAGGGACTTTCATGGGAGAAAAAGGTTCCTATTTCTGATTGGCTGTGCGGATTGCAAACTACGCCCCGTAAAACCATGCGTAAAACTCTGAAAAGTGTTGTGAAGCCGCCATTTTATTATCCTCACATTAGCATGATTAGCATGATTAGCATTAGCCCACCGCACAAACGTAGAGAGACTAACTTATGGCAACACAAAAAAACAAACATAGGAGCGGTGGAGATGAGGAGGTGTTGGCGTTCTGGCGATTTACTCAGAAGGCTTCAGTAGAAGCTGCTCGGAGTCCCAGTTGTTTTCAGCCTGCCAGTAAACTCAAAGCAGAAGAAGAAGAAGTGACGTCAGCGGCTTCATTTGCCTATATCAATCAATCAATCAATGTTTATTTATATAGCCCAATAACACAAACTGGAAGCTGATTCCACAAATGTGGAGCTTGATAAGAAAAGGCTCTGGCTCCCATTGTACTTTTAGAGACTCTAGGAACAACCAACAACCCTGCATTCTTGGAACGCAATGCCCTAGTAGGACAGTAGGGTATAATGAGTTATTTAAGGTAAGATGGCGCCTGCCCATTAAGGGCTTTGTAGGCGAGAAGAAGAATTTTAAATTCTATCCTGTGTTCTATAGGGAGCCAGTGTAAGGCAGCCAGAACAGGAGTAATGTGGTCCCTTTTCCTAACTCTGGTTAGTACACGAGCTGCAGCATTTTGAATCAGCTGAAGCGACTTGACTGACTTCTTGGTACACCCTGATAATAAGGAGTTACAATAATCCAGCCTTGAAGTAACAAATGCATGGACTAGTTTCTCTGCATCGTTTTGAGGCAAGATATGCCTGATTTTTGCAATGTTACGTAGATGGAAGTAGGCGGTCCTTGAAATTGATTTTATGTGGGCGTTAAAGGATAAATCCTGATCAAATATAACACCAAGATTCCTTACAGTCTCACTGGAGGCCAAATGAATGCCATCCATAGTTAGTATATCTTTAGATAATTTGTTTCGTAGATTATTCGGGCCAAGTACAATAACTTCAGTTTTGGTCGTGTTTAACATCAAAAAGTTTAAGGTCATCCACGTTTTTAAGTCCTTAAGGCAGTCTTGAATTTTATTTAGATGATTAATTTCATCAGGCTTGATTGATAAATATAGTTGAGTATCATCCGCATAACAATGAAAGTCTACAGAATGATTCCTTATAATATTGCCTAACGGAAGCATATATAATGTGAACAAAATAGGTCCGAGCACTGAACCCTGTGGCACTCCATGGCTAACTTTGGTTTGCGTGGAAGATTCATCGTTAACGCGTACAAACTGAGAGCGTTCAGATAGATAGGACCTAAACCAGTCTAAAGCAGTTCCCTGTATGCCAACTAAGTGCTCTAGTCTTTGCAATAAGATATCATGGTCGATAGTATCAAATGCAGCACTGAGATCGAGCAAAACAAGAATAGAGACAAGTCCCTTGTCTGAGGCTATTAGAATGTCATTTGTGACTTTAACCAGAGCTGTCTCTGTGCTATGATGTGTTCTAAAGCCAGACTGAAAATCTTCAAATAAATCATTGTTTTTTAAGTAATCACACAGCTGTTTTGCGACCGCTTTCTCAAGAATTTTTGAGAGGAACGGAAGATTAGAAATAGGTCTATAATTGGCTAAAACCTCTGGATCGAGGTTGTGCTTTTTAAGAAGCGGTTTTATCACTGCTACTTTGAATGATTGTGGAACATAGCCTGATAATAAAGACATATTCATAATATTTAATAAAGAAGTGCTAATTAATGGAAAAACTTCCTTCAACAGCTTAGTTGGAATTGGGTCTAACATACACGTTGATGGTTTAGAAGAGAGAATCATTGAATTTAATTGTTCAAGGTTTATGGCTGAAAAGCATTCTAGTTTACTATCTAGTGTAATATTAGAACTTACGTTTCCGGGAGCTGTTGATAACACTATACTGGTCAAAGGCAAGAGGTCATTAATTTTGTTTCTAAGAGTAACAATTTTATTGTTAAAAAAGCACATAAAATCATTACTACTGAGTGCTATGGGAATAGAAGGCTCAATCGAGCTATGGCTCTCTGTCAGCCTGGCTACAGTGCTTTTCATCTTTTATACTCAAAAATGTAGCTTTCAGTAA